GCGTGCATACATGCAGATATACACACATTTAGTCATAAGTAACTATAGTCATACCAGCATGCATGCATACATGCATGCATGTATGCATGCATATAGGCATACATACCTACTGATCTGCCTACCTACATACATATATACATACATACAGATGTGCATACATCCATACGTGCATACAGAAATACGCACATTAAGACGGACAAATATACAGACAGGCAAACAGACGGACAGGCAGGCAGGCAGGCAGACACACGCACACACACGCACACACACATACAGACATACCTGCATGCATACATATAGTTTTAGATATTATATATACGTGTGTATATATACATATATGTGTATATATATATATATGTGTGTACCTAGGTGCATCTACACACACATACACATGCACATCCCACCAGCCCTTTGGGCGCAGATAGCCTAAAGCGTTTCCTGTTCGAACTTCCGGTATTCCCCTTCTCGGGGAGGTTTACCTCCCCCAGCCCCCACCCCCACCCCTGGGCCTGGGCGGGGGTGGGGCCAGGGGGGAGCGTCCAAGATGGCCCAGGCCTCAAGAGCGCCTCAGAGAGCCCAAGATGGCCTCCGTGACGGCTCAAGATATCTCGAGATGACGCAAGATAGCCTCCGACATGCATCCAAGAAGCCCCAAGACGGGCTCAAACGGTCTCAAGTGCTCTCCGATCTTCCCAAGGTCCCCCCTCCTCCAAGATGCCAAAATCCGTCAACTAAAACTATGGGAAGCACTAGGTGTTTGCAATCTCGCCTCCTCGCCTCCCATGGGCTTCTGTGGCCGCAAGATGAACCCAAGATGGCCCAAGAGAGCCCCAAGAGGGGCTCAAGAAGGCCCAAGATGACCCCAAGAGCGCCCAAAAGGCACTCAAGAGCAGCCCAAGAGGGGCTCAAGAGGCAGTTGTTCCGCCCCGAGGAGGGGGGGCTCAATTTCCGCCGCTCTTTTGTTTGACCGATGGAGCCCAAAATCGCCCTAATCTGCCTCCCAGGGCCCTCGAGGGGCCTCCAACAGGCCACCAAGAGGCCTCCAGGAGGCCCCCAAGATGGCCTCAAGAGGGCAAAAAAGGCTTCCAAAATGACTCCAGGACGATTCCAAGAGGCCTCTAAAAGGCTCGCGGAGCGAAAGATCCGCGATGGCTTGACGGACCTGCTCAGGCTGATCCAAGGCTTCGGTTTGACGGTTTCCTGAGCTGTTTGTCCCAGTGCATGCTGCCCCACGCCCCTGATCAAGGAATGTAGGCTGGGCATCGTTGCTGGATGCGCTGATGGGGATACGCGAAGCGTCAATAGTTCAGATGCATACACGTACGCCTGTACAGTTTCATACATATACACATACATATATGTGTACGTACGCGCATTGTGCAAGTGCCTACCCACAAAGTGCATACCCACAGTGTGCTATAACTATGCTTGTAAACATGTAGATGCACGTGTATGTGTACCACGTATACAACTGTACACACGTATATACACATGTATGTGCTCATACGTGGAAGAACATGTACACTCTCAAATATACTCTCAAACATATACGCATGCACATTCGCATATATCTATATATTTATATAATATTATATATATATATATATATATATATATATATGGTCGGGGGCTTGCCCCCCCCCCCCCCACCCAATGCTAATGCCATCGCCCCCCCCCCCCTTGCGATGCCCCCCCCCTGTGGGCGTGGGCGTGGCGTGGTGGCTCCCCCCCCCCATGTGGATGTGGTGTGGGTGTGGTGTGTTGCTGTGGATGTGTGCGGGGTGACGCCATGGTCCTCCTCCCCCCTCCCTCCCCCCCCTGTGGGTGCGGTGTGGGTGCGGCGTGTGGCTGGGATTGGCGTCATGTTGACAGCTCCAGTGCTCGACGTCGTCGCCGCCGCCGCTGGTGGTGCCGTCGACGTCGTCGTCGTCGTTGTCGTCGTCGTCGTTGTCGTCGTCGTCGTCGTTGTCGGTGTCGTCGTCGTCGTCGTCGTCGTCGTGGTCATCGTCGTCATTGCCGTCGTCATCGTCCTCCTCCTCCTCCTCATCCTCCTCCTCCTCCTCATCCGCCTCCTCCTCCTCCTCCTCCTCCTCCTCCCCCCCATCCCATCTGGGGGGGGGCGGGGCCGAGGACCCTGGGACCCATCCCATCTGGGGGGGGCCCGAGGACCTGGAGAGCCCGCGGTCATATGTGTATATATATGCATGTGTATATATATATATATATGTACATACACCTGCATGGACATATACGTATAATTACGTGTATATGTATATATGTATGCACGCATACATATGAGCATGTATAACTGCAGCTGCATAGACATGTATGCATATATGTATATACATTATACACATGCATTTACGTATGCATGCATCTATCTTAAATTGAAAAATAGATAGGCGTCCATGTGTGTATATACATGCACACATAAGTGTACATGGATATACGTATGTATACACATCTGAGTATACACATGCATAAATAGATATCGATACATATCCGTATACAACATATATGTATGTGTACGTAAACCTGTACGTGCACGTACACGTAAGCATATGTCTGTGTATATACATGTACGCATGCACATACCTCAACGTAAAAATACCCATACATATACACACAATATACATAAACATATACAAACACATCAGCAGGGACATATATATATATATATAACGAGAGATCGAGAGAAAAACATGTACACATATATAGGTTCAAACACATATACATATACCTAAGCATATACATATACGTACACATGTACATTATCATAGTCGTGTGAAGATATATGCACGTACATATGAACACGCAGGTTGATCTTGTATATACACCTACGTTTGCACATGCACATATACAGACACACCTACCCATACATATAGATCCACTCACATACACATACATCTAAGCATACACATATATATGCACATATTCATACATACAGATGTACATACACATACACATATAAGTGCATGTACATCAACAGATATAGATGCGTAAACATGTACATTTACATATACACATGTCTGTTATGGCTACGATGTAGAACATAACAAGACGCCCTCACACATATGACTGGGGAGTGTGACGGCACAGCACAGGCCATCCTGTGTAGAGCACCACTTCGCCGGGCAACTAGGCAAAGAATTCAGCAATGTGCTATAATACGGAGTACAGGCAACAGGCTAATAACCTGTCCAACGTCCAACGGGCCAAGGCCATTCATGGAAATCATCATAGCAGCCTGGAGAGATCAGCCCCTGATCAGCATATGCCGATAGACAGAGGAGTGAACGAGGAATATCGAACACAGGTAGCCCATCGCCGCTTCCATGACCCCTGAAGTATTAACACATGTTGCACTCCCAGTTGCGCGAGAATGCGTTCAGCTTCGTGTGCACTCCGTCTGGCCAGCTCACCGCAGCTATTTGACCAAATCACAGAGATGCCGAGATGGGCAATAACGAGAGCGCAATGATCCAAGCGGGGCACACTGGGAGCAGGGAGGCAGAGCATGTCGGATAAAACATGTGGCAGGGGTTACGATCATGCACTGGGCCAGCACTGGGTTGCCTCTGTGCAGCCATGGTTCCTCAAGGCGAACAAGATCGCTTCGGAAGCCTACGCAGTCCGAACAGCTGACGCTCGCCGAAGTCGACGGCAATGTCCGGGGCGGCCCCTGGGCAATTCTGGAGACTGCGGCAAGTGCGAGTCCGCCAAAGCATGCAGGGCGACTGGGCGCCACTCGGACGCGTCTAGAGCCAAGACCGCTGAGCTTCGGCGAGGGCCCAATTCGGAGGAGGAGGAGGAGGAGGAGCAGGAGGAGGAGGGAGGGAGCAGGAGGAGGAGGAAGAGGAGGAGGAAGAGGAGGAGCAGGAGCAGGAGGAGGAGGAGGAGGAGGAGGAGGGGGAGGAGGAGGAGGGGTAGGAGGCAGGAGGGGGAGGAGGCAGGAGGGAGCAGGAGGAGCCCTAGCCTGGAGACCGCCGTCGCAGGCAGGGCCAGGACCGCCTTCGCGACCGTGCGCCACAGAGTTCCACGAGCCAGGCCCCTGACGCAGTCAGCCAGCTTCGAACTGGTAGATCGGATCGGGTCGAGACGTGCATTGGATCGGGCTGCATTCGGCACGATGTCGAAATTCTGCCACGATGTCGAAATTCAATTGGATCGGCTGCGCCATGAGGCACGACGGCGCCATGAAAGCATCGGGGCGCATCGGATCGCCTGAAGATCTGAATCAGACCGAATCGAGCCGGCCGGGGCCGATGTCTAATCGGATCGATGGTATCGAAGTGGGCCCGGGTGGGTCAGAGTCGGCGGGGACCCTGCGTGGAAAATGATTCGCCTTTCCCAGCAAGCGTCCAGGGCCACGCACGGCATGGCGCTTCGGGCCTGAGGGCTCGAAGTTTTTGTTCGAGGGCCCGAAGACCTCCAAACGAACCAGACACCATCACTGTCACAACTGACAACAAAAAAACACGTTTCGGTCGCACGCAGCTGGGGCGAAAGCCGCTCGAGCGCTCAAAGAGTCGAAGCTGGGCTAAGTGAGACTACCAAAAACACACACACACTGTTTGCGTCGGCGGCTAGGCAGAGCGATTGCGCTGGCGGAAAGAACATGTGTACGACATACCGATGCGAATTAAGCCGCGATGCAAGAGGGGGGAGGAAGCCCGGCGCTGGCGGGAGGGAAGGGCGAAAGGGCCCGCTCAGAGCGGGGCCAGGCCGCGGCAGGGGGCACACACAGACACACACACACACACACACACACACACACACACACGCACAGACACCGTACCATGTCTGGACTCCCTTCAGGCGCCACTCCAACGCGGCTTCTGTGCATGGTTCGTCGGCTGAAGGGCCGAGAAAGTGTGCACCGTACTGCTCCTCGGGCCGAGGATCCACGACGCCTCGGGAGACGCCAACGCGGTACGGTGCACACAGGCCGTCCGCGGACCGAAGCACCTGTCCGACGCCGCCGTCCCCCGGCGGGTCGCCTGCAGCACCGCGCAGGCGGGCGCCGCGGACCCGGAGGCGCCGCGGGCGCAGAGCTCGGCGATGCTCTCGGCCCTGTGGGGGCCGCGGGCTCCACCTCTCGAGCGTGGGGGCGGGTCCGCTGGAGGATGCGCGCATTGTCGGCGATCCCCCGCGGGTGATCCGAGGGCGGAGGGGGCAGCCTCGCCTTCTCGCTCTGGGCAGCCCTGCGCGTGCCCGCGCGAACCACACGTGACCCCCGCGTCGGACCTGCGCAGCCGACAGGGTCATGTGGTCCAGGTGGGGGAGAGGGGGGCTGCGGGACCCCAAGAGGAGATTTCAGGGCCCCGACGGGAGGGGCAAAATAAGCGCTACCCCCCGTTGCGACTGATGGCCCGCAAGGTGGCCACAAGAGGCCTTCCCGGGGCCCCCAAGAGGACCCCAAGAGGGCCCAAGAGATCCCAACCGGCTTCCGAGATGGCCCCAAGACGACTTCGGGAGGCCCCCCGAGGTATCTAATTCACACTAGTTGGCCTTCTGTTGTACTATATGCTTACCTACGCCCCTGTTCCAGACGACTCCCCTGGGCATCGTTTCTGGATGGGCTGGTGGGAAAACGCGAATCTCGGCCGCGTTGTGCTCCCTCTGGGCCTCCTGGGGTGCCCTCGTGGCCCTCGACATTCTGCTCAGGAGCAGCCAAGTCCAGACTGCGCGGCAGAACCCGTCCACGCGGGCCGACTAGAAGGCGGGGGACCCAAACAAAATGGCGCGGAGTGTGACGACGGCCGCAACCAACGACGCAGGAGTTCACTTCCGTCAGCAACCTCCATGGGGACCTGCTTTGGCAGCTCTGAGCTGGATCGAATCGAGACATCGGGTCGCAGCGAAAACAGATCGGATCGCACCTAGATCGCTACGGAATCGGATCGCTTCGGATCGCTGATCGGGCACCCGCCCCTGCAGGACGCAGAGGGACTCGGTTCGTGCTGGATCGGATCGGATCGAGATCGCATTCGAGGCGTGGGGATCAGACCGGAAAGACCTTGATCGCGAGCGCGAGCGGCCCCGACCGGCGGGCGAGAGGGGTGGTCGAGGAGGGGAGGGGGCGAATCTGCGGCACGGTCTTGCCGTGGCGACCCAGGCATTGGCTTTCGATCCCACGCGAGTCGTTCAGCCTTGAGCGATCGAGGAGGAGGAGGAGGAGGAGGAGGAGGAGGAGGAGGAGGAGGAGGAGGAGGAGGAGCTCTCCAACAGCGCGGATCGCCCGACGTCGGCCGAGTATGGGCCGTTGGCGGCGCGCTCCGCATCCCGAGCGCCTGCGCTCGGGTCGCCGGCACGCGGGCGCGGCGCGAGCCTGCCGTACGAGCTGCAGGCTGTGGTCCCGCTCTTGGGGCCGTCTTGGGGCCCTCTTGGGGCCGTTTGGGGCGCCTCTTGGGGCCGTCTGGGGGGGCCCTCTTGGGCCGTTTGGGGGGGCCTCCTGGGAGCCTCTCGGGCCGTCTTGGGGCGGTCTTGGGGGCCTCCTGGGCCGTCGTCAACGCCGTGAAAAGCGAAAAGCCGTACATGCTAAAAACATGTCCCTAGGGGCTCCTGGCGACTTCATGCCGAGTACAGTGGGAGCTCGACCACGAGAAACCCTCCACAGGAAACCCAACCCTGAGGACGTCCATTGATTTTTGGTGTGGGAACGTCACGCTTTCCATAGCAAAACGATCGAAGCCAAAAAAAACAGTGCACCCTGGAGACAAGCAGTTGCTTCTTGGCATGGGTTTACACTGTACGGCAGGTTCGCATCGCGTCGACCCCAGCGTTGGTGCCTGACACCGCGGAGATCGTATAACCTTGAACGATCGGCCGTTTCCGAAACGTCGAATCTTTCAAGATCGACCAATTACGGGCCGCCGCCCGCGTTCAACATTGCACGCTGTCGGCGTGGTCGCCGCCGGTCGACACGATGCGGACCCACCACAACCCCTGGCCGAAACGCCGCAGACGTGGGCGGATGTCACCGCCCAGGGGCCTCTGCAAGCACACGCAAGCTCCGCTTTCGAGCTGGATGCTGGATGGCCACGGCACGGATGGAGGGAGCCGGTGGGGAGACAAGACGAGTGGATTGAGCAACGTGAGCAAAACAAAAAACAAAAAAAAAAAAAAAAAAACACACACACACACACACAGACACACACACACACACACACACAAACAAACAAACAAACAAACAAACAAAAACACTTTGTTGTGTTTTGTTGTTTGTTGTGTTTTGTTGTTTTTCCATAAAAAAGTGTGTTTTGTTTCCCACCTTACGCGAGATGACATAGCGGCCTTACGCGGTGACTTACGCGGGTCGCCAGCGCGGCACGCCACACTGGAGACGCGGGCGCTCACGCGCGACCGTACGCGGGTAGCTTACGCGCCGATGTTTGCGCAGACGACCCCACTCGAGGATGGTGTTCTTGGCGCGCCGATGACGGCAACACCAATCCACTCTCCCTCTGGGACTTCGCCCCCTGCTCCTGTCCATGGCGTACCTTGTCCTGTGCAAGATCTTCGGCACCGCCTGTACTCTGCACCCTCCGGCCGCCTGAGGCCCCGCCCGCCCGCGCCCTGTCTCTCCAATTAGGGCTTCGCGCGCCCCGCCTAGCTCTTGACCGGAAGGGGCCTGCTCCCGACCCGCCGACCAAAAAAAAAGCTTGTGCAGACGACCCCTCTCTGCTGCGTCGCTCACATGACAAGCGACAACGACGGGATGATGGAGAAGAAAGGCGTCAGGAGGGAGGAAGGGCGACTGGGGGATGGGCGGGGGTTGCAGGAGGGAGGACGAGAGGGGAAGAACCGTAGGGCCTCTGGGCCTTCCGGCTCGCTGCCCGCTTGCCGCTCGTGAGATCGCCAGAGGATCCCTTCTTCCAACCCCTCCCAGCCTCGGCCGCAACATCTGAAAAAAACAAAAAAACAAAAAATGAAAACAACACAAGACACAACATCGATCAGGCCGTGGGCAGCCGATGGCCAACAATATACTTGTCAACCCCAGGACTGGTCTTTGAACAGCCCTTCACACCTTCGGCTTCTGGCCGAACTTCTAATCAAGCTCGGGGGCATGTCCTCTATCTGGCACCTACTGCTGGGGGGGGACACCTCTCCATGGACAAGCGTTTGGAGGTCTGGGGGGGGAAGTCATCCCAACTCCGAAACATCTCTATATATGCACAAAAAATGTGTATATATATACACGTATGTATATATGTGTATAAAATATATATGTATATATGTATATATATATATATTGGGTGAATGTGCATGTGTAATGTATACATAGATATATCTGCATACACATGTATGCATATGAATGTGTATGCATTTATATATGTGCATAAACATATACATGCATGTATATATATATATATATGCATACATACATACATACATACATACATGCATACATACATATATATACACATACATACATATATGCATACATACATACATGCATGCATACATACATACATACACACATACATGCATATATGCATACATGCATGCATGCAGATATGCAGACATGCGTACATGCATACATGCATGCATACATACATACATACCCACATGCATACCCACATACATACATACACACATACATACATACATACATACATACATACATGCATACATACATACATACATACATACATACATACATACATACATACAGCACAAACATGCATGCATACATACATACATATATACATACATGCATGCATGCATACATACATACATACATGCATGCATGCATGCATGCATGCATGCATACATACATACATTGATATATCGACGTATACACATATATACGCATTATATTCGGAGAACACTCGGTGTCCCAAAACGGTCCGCTCACCCCGAATCACCATTGACCCCTGGAGTCCGTGGGCTGGGGCGCAAAATTTTGCGAGTCGAACATCTGAGCCGACACTTCCGGCGCGGTGCAGCGCAAAGCGCTGCTGTGGTAGTAAGACGTGCCCCCTGGCGTCAGCGTCGTTCGTCGTTCGTCGCTCGTCGTCGTCGTCGTTCGTCGTCCGCCGTCGTCGCCGTCGCCGTCGCCGTCGTTCGACCAACACCTGCTCAAAGCTGCCCCCCCCAGACTCCGCCCGCGGCCATCCCGCCAAGCTTCCCAGCCCGCATCGATGTCTGACGGCCCCACGGCCCGAAGGAGGCCCCCGGGACGCCGGAACAAAAAAACAAACCTCCCTCCTCCGACGTCACAAAATGTTTTGCTGCACGGCCCCCCAGGGATCTCGACCCCCTTCCCGGGGTTGGCGGCGAGCGAGGGGGGGGAATGAGCAGGAGGAGGCCGTCTCAGAAGGCGGCGGGACTTCTCAGAGGCCCTCGCGCCTTCCGAGCAGCTTCCCGCGTCTTCGGGGAAGGCTTAGAAAACTTGTCAGAAGGACTTCCGAGCCTTCTGAGAAGGCCCGCCCCTTCTCACTTCCCCCCGGGGCTCGCCGCCGACAAGGGCCACCTTCCCATCCTGAGCGGCTTCTCGAGGGCCCCAAGGGGGCGGACGGCGGCCTCCAGAGGCCGAGGACGTGGGAGAGCCTGCATCCCCGTCCCCCGTCGTCGCACTTGTTTTGTGGCACGGCCCCCTGCTGAGGTGACCGCGGGGGGGCACTAACTGGGTAGGGAACTTGGGAGCGGATCCTAAATTGTAAATGGGGGGCAGAGGCCCCGAGTGGTTCGAGGGGGGGTGGACCTGGTCCAAGTGGACGGAGCCCACTTCGCGGAGTTAGATGATCACCCTACACTGCTAAGGTCACGCGCAGCCTACTTTGAAGCCAGGTCAGGCCAGATATAACCCACATCAGCATCCAATTCGAACCGTCTGTTACTCCCATCGTACAGAAGGGTCAAACAGCAGGAGTCATTTCGAATACCCAGAGAAATACCGAAACAGCGTCTTTCCGACACGTTGGCAAAGTGTCGAACGAGTATCGTCTCCCAGGGCCCGACACGCGAAAACCCTAGATTTCGGCACCTGGTGCTCGGGACTCTTGCTGGTGGTCAATGCTAAAAGGAGGTTGGAACATCGTAATTCTAACCCACCTGGCCCCTCAGCAGCCCAAGGTGAGCGTTTCC